CATTAGGCACCCCATATTTACTTTTTGAGGTTTGTCAAAATTTTATTTTTATTTTAATTTGCTACATCTGCAAGGTGTGTCTTAAAAAATACCAAAATTCCAACATTTCAATAATTTGGCATGTGTACAAATTCAAATTTATTTTCAAATTTTAAAAACACAGCCTTGTATTTCATATTTTTACACTCAAGCACCACTTTTGAGAGCACATAAAGTATTTTAATTTTAAGATTTTCTATATGTCGAATGAAGCTGAAATTTGACGCATGTCGATAACCATCACACACTAATAGAAAAATACAATAAAAATAATTTGAAGGAAATAAAATTATCAAAACACCCTTAAATTTTGTAAATATATTTTGATTATTTTTTATTAGATTACTTTTTACATTGTTTTTATAGACATATAATGGAGAGAAGTATGGATGCCTCAATTTTGAACTTAATTTGACTTAGAAAATAACTAAAGTTAAAATACATTATATGCTCTTGAAAAGTATGGCTTGATTGTAAATATGAAATACAATGAACTATTTTTCAATATCAAAATAGAATCGGGTTTTCTATAAATACAACGAAATATTTCAATGTACAATGAAATATTTATATACAATGAAATACAAGAAAATATTTATAGAATCGGGTTTTCTATAAATACAACGAAATATTTCAATGTACAATGAAATATTTATATACAATGAAATACAAGAAAATATTTATAGAATCGGGTTTTCTATAAATATTTCAATATAAAATGAAATAGAACGAAAAGTATGGCTTGATTGTAAATATAGAAAACTATTTTTCTATAGATTATAGTAAAACCCTATCTAGGTGTATTTTTAAGACCCAGAATTTTGGGATTTAACCTCTGCCATCGAAACAAATAAAAAAAAAAAAGATTTTACTATGCACTTAGTACGTGTCCCGAAAAAATAGCATCCTAAGATTGGACAAAAACCATCCAATTTTTGGACAGTCAAATCCAAGTTTTCTGAAACGCAAATTATTTTTATCGAAAAAACTCATTTTGTATTTATAGTGCATCCCAGAGTTTCAGTTTGAAAAAATCCTCCTTAGTACCAGATGGAGCAAAGTTACAACATGGTCACCTTGATTTGATGCAAGTCATAACCATTTTATAACAAATATTACTGTCAATAAATTTATTGAAATATTTCCCTCTTTTAAATAAAAAGCCCAAGTAATTGTTATAAGACCACCATTTTTGTCATAAAAAAATGATAGCATAAATTAAAAAATAAAAAAAAACAAAAAATAAAAATAAAAAAAAAGAAAAGAAAGAAAGAAAAGAAAAAGAAAGAAAGAAGACGAAGAAGAAGGATAAATTAGCTTGAAAAGTATTACTTTTATTCATATCGATTTATAAATATATTATATTGGTTCTCCTTTTTGTAAAGCAGGATAATGGATGGATGAGAATTTTGATTGTAAAAGAAGGAAAAAGAGGGGGCAGGATATTCTATAACACTATCAATGGCTATGAGTGAATGTCAATAACTTTACCATCTGCATGCCCCACTCTCTGTCTTGAAGTATCCTCTCTTTTGTTTTGAACTCTCTCTCACACAGTGAAGGGTGAGAAAACTAAGCATTTTCACTCTTATCCAAAATGTGTTGATCCGCTGTGACCCCTATTGTTTGCGAAAACTTTTCTGCCATAGTACATCAGGTAAGCCGGGAAAATTGCAGGGGTATGAGGTGGTACCTACCCTTCTTTAACTACTCGGTCCTAGTACCGAGTAATTGGGCCGAGTATTCGGGCTGGGCGCCCTAACAAGTCTGAGTTACTCGAGTTGGGTGTCTCACTTGGGGATATTAAATAAAAAATAAAAAAATCATAAAAAATCCCAAAAATAAGGAATCTATTGTGATATTTATGTTTTTTACCATGTTGACAATAAAGATTGGAAAGTGTTTTGGCTATAAATACTTATTTTTATATTTTTTATCTTTTTTTAGATTATTTTAAAAATACCTTCAAGTTGATTTTCTAAAGTCTATTTCTTTACTAATTTTTTATAACCTCATTTTGAGGTGTTTTGCTTAATCTTACTTTAAAAACACATTTCCTATTTTTATTGATATTTTATATTTTCATGATTTTTTTTTTTTTTTTTTGCTGTTACTGCATTCAACACTACTCGATCGATCGGGACGAGTTACTCATACAAGACTCAAATCAATATTTCTAACACTGATACCCATAATTTTGTTAATTTTCTGATGCGTTGCCAGCTACAATTTTGTGGGCTACTGAATACTACGTATGATTCAAAACATATGTCCTTGTGTCAGCGTCCAGCACAACAGAGAACAACAATACATGAAAGAAAGAGTGACTTTTTCCAGCTAGAGAGAGAAGAAGAAACCCGCCAACTACAAAAACCATCAAATGTTGTTTCATGGGGTAAAACGAAGGGAAATTAGTAGTCTGAAGAATCGCCGAGCAGAGCAGGCTTAGAGCCGGTGGGTTACCGATCCTGGTCTAAAACACCCCCGGTTTTACCGGGTTCCAACCGGTCCTTGTAGGGCTTTTCTACTTTTTAATTATAAGAGAACCGACGAGCTTACCCCGAGCGTTTCCAAGCCAGCTCAAAAACCATGGGTGAACGAATCGATCCAATTTGGTTAACCCCAAAAAATTATTTGATCCGGTGGAGCCACTTAGGTTGCATTTAGAATTTCTTTTAGGTTTAGGTATTGAACTTGCAAGTCATGCAATTGAAATTTGAAAATAATCATTTATTCCTAACGTCTTAAATTCTACACACAATTCCCGCTGAAACTCCATGAAAGCACACAACTTTAGAAATGCCATAGCAAATTAAATCCACAAAGTAACTTATACTTAACTAAATAAATATATACACCTAGACTATTTATTTTTTATACAAGGTCACAATCATTATTGATCATTGGATGTGAAATGGATAATTGAAGATGCATCATTAATTATATACAAAATCCAAATAAAAATTCTCGAATGTTGTGACACATTTCAACCTAGTAGGTTTTACATCCAATGACTAAAAATGATTGTGACCTCCTTATATCAAAAGTATATAGTCTCATAATAAATATTCCCCTAGACTAATAATAAACTTCAAGAGTGATTTACATTTTAATAACCATGACCTATGGATTTATTACTATCTAACTAATTGGGTGTAAACACTTTTTCAGTTGCCCCCATAGGGTACTTCACAAAGAAATTTAGTGAGCAAAATACCCTTAGTATTAAATGTAAAAAAAGTAGAAGTTTAGAAAAATATATGATGAGATTATTTATTTTTTGTACAAAATGGTCACAACTAATCTTTAGATGTGAAATTGGATGGCTGCATTTTTTTCATTGACCAAGCTTAAAATTCAAAAACAGTTTTTCGAACACACCCAAGCTGTCAGATTTCAGCTCGGACACTCCCTATACTAGAGATAAATGTATACAATCCCAAGTTTTATTTTCTCAAATTTATTCTTGGGTCCTTCCCTTCTATCTGTAAATAAAGTGCAAGGGGTTCCGGCGAGATTTCCCACAAATTTTAGACGAAATTCACATAATTCCGTCAGATTAGCGTGGGCCTCGTTACTTGCATTTCAAAAACAAAAACTGAGTGTCTTATGGGGTTCACCCCAAAAAATTTCTCATTTTAACAGGTCCAAAGGAACCATATAAGTATTATTTTATTTTATTTTGTTGGTCCCTTAGGCTTTAGAGAAGGCAAATATCATTTAAGTGATCAAGAGTCAAAACATCATAATTAACAACATTCTAATAAACATTGTATTGTTTGCTTCTTTTTTTTTCATTTAACTCGAGTACCTCTTCAAAAAAAACTTTAAAGAATACTATAAATTGCCATTTTGTAACTCAGAATCTAGAAAAAAAAGGTACATTTTTGTAATTTGATATGCCCAAAAGGCCCCGAACACAAGAATAAATGATAAGGTTACCTCATGTTCATCATGTCATGATAATATAATGAAACCACAATTCCAAAAAACCATGTTTGTTGCATTTATATAATGAAACCACAATTCCAAAAAACCATTTTGTTGCATTTATATGACAACAAAAATTGCACGTCCTCTCTATCCATCCCAACTATCAATCCCAAAAAATAAAATTCAAATTACACCTTAAATAGATTCCTCTCCAACAATGAATCTAGACCACCCATTTGATGAGTTTCAAAACCTTGGCCTTTACGAACTCAAAATCATCTTTTTTTTCTTTTTTTAACAATGTTCATTTAATGTCAATTAAACCACCCAAAAAATTTTAAAAACGAAATAATAAACATCTAGGTTAAAAAAACACTTTCTAATGTGTTTTTAAAATTTGCTTTTTTGTGATTGTTCATTAAAATGAAAATATGAATTTTAAAAATAGAGTCAAACAAATGACTCAACGACTCCAAAATATGATTTTTTAATAATATTTAATTATAGTACTATAAAACCATTGCGTAAAATCACTCCGATATACACACACCAACAGAGAGATGGTTTCAAGTCCAAAAAATTATTATCTTACAACATATTTTCTGGAAGGTCCATTTCAAGTGTTCACAGTTCAGATTTACAACTCTCTTTTTTTTAGCTTCGAATTCCATTGGTGAATTTAATTTCCAAATCATCACAAGGCTTTCCAATGCCAAAACTACATTTTTCCAGCACGGTTTTGAAGTGCAGCTCCCCCAAATGTCATAAAGCAGCGGCATGGACGCTACACTCTTGTTTTGAATGATTTTCTAGTACTTGAGTCACTCATATACTCCCGAGAGAGAGAGAGAGAGAGAGAGAGAGAGAGAGAGAGAGTATTGTCACACTATACAAATCTAAGGTAAAATGATGACAAATAAAAGCAAGAAGAATAAAAAATCTT